GAAGATTGGCGTCGCCCAGATTCGGCCGGCAGCAGGATGGGAGAATTGGGTACCGTCCCAAGAAGACCTCGAGACCATCCGCCAGGCAGAACACAACATCTCCAACCACCTGTGGGGCGATGACACAGGTGAAGCACCAGCAGAGGGCACCGCCCTACCGAGATCTTCCAGTTCCGACCAACCAAGCAGCCACGCCTGGAACACCAGGCGCGACAGTACGATGAAGACATGCCCGAACCTGAAGCAGCACCCTTTTCCCAGGCTCAGCCAACCGCAGAGCCGTACAGTTTGGCGACACTGCCACCACCGATAGACCATGGACAAGCATCTGCAGCCACTGCAAGTGTGGAGACAAACATTCACCAGCAGCAGCAGATGAACATGCAGCAGACCAACACCCAGCAGACGGTGAACGTCCACCAGGTTCGCAGAAAGATCACGGTCAACATCGACTCACCGACATACCAAAGGTACGGTCCTGAGCCATCGTTTGGGCCAACACCCCCAACACCGCGATCCATGAGAGGCCGAACAAGGGCTTCTCTAGGCACACCGACTGCTCCATATCCACCCGTCGGCCAAGAACAAAGACCAGCACCGAGTACACCAGTGCCTGTCTTGACCGACGCTGATACAGCACCAACAGGACACGCAACTGAGCAAGCAGCCACATCCGCATTGCCCAGCGGCGACAGTGCACACAACACCTACCTCAACTGGTGGGTACAGCAGTTCATCACATACGATGACGGCGCGGCAGCACCCAGAGAACCTCACTGGGATGGCAGCCCTGACTACAACAGCACTTCTCGACCATGCAACCAGTTCTACCAGGCATACCTCAACAGCAGCAAGCGCAAGCAGGAACTGGCAGAACAAGGCATAACGCACAAGCCCAACCAGTCCGACACCGAGACCTCCGATGACGACTTGACACAGTCCAACCAGCGGCAACTCACCAGGCAAGAGCTCAAGCAACTGGACCGAGAGCTGCCTTGGAGAGAGATCATGGCAATGCCCTGGCCCGCCATTGAGAAGTTCATCGAATCGGCCTACACCGAGTATGAAGGCTGGATGAACTGGTCAACCATCAGGCCACTCACCAAGGACGAAGTCAAGCAAGTCCTGAGCGACCCTGTGCTGAAACGCCGCATTTTGCGGTCAAGAGCAGCCTACAAGGACAAAAGCCGAGGCCTCGGCGAGCTACGAGCGAAGACTCGTGTGGTGCTGATTGGATGCGCAGACCCTGACCTTCGGCAGCTGACACGTGACAGCCCAACACCTACACGGTTGTCCGAGACCATCATCATGGCCATAGCTGCAAGTGGTGCCAACCGCCTCTTCCAAGGCGACGGCAAAAGCTGGTCCCTCTGGCTGTCAGACGCCGAGAAGGCATTCCTACAAGGTGAACAGGACAGCTCAGAGAGGTACGACCTTCCTCTGTTCATGGAGCCGCCCAACGACCCAATCATCAAGGCCTCGGGCGCCTACTCAGCAGAGCTGTACCAAATCACCGGCAACTGCTACGGCCTCAGCAATGCTCCAAGAGTCTGGTATAAGAAGGTCGATCGCACGGTCAAAGAGGCTGACTTCAAGCAACACACCTTCGACCGGTGCTTCTACTACCACCACGGCGATGACGGCCTTCTCGACTGTCTGATGATCGTCCATGTTGACGACTTCATGGCCGTGTATGCCGAGACCTTCAACCTGGACACCCTCCGGAACCTCTTCTCATGGGGCAGCGTGACCTTAGTCTCATCCGAGAAGTCCGGCACCTACAGAGGAAAAGAAATCTCCTTGCACCAGGTGAACGGCAAGTGGCACTATCAGGTCACACAGCGGGACTTCATCCAAACCATGCACGTCGGCAAACTGGCCAAAGGACGACTGCAAGGTGACCCGCAGCTGACCACTGATGAGGTCAAGGAGTACAGAAGCATTTGCGGCTCACTCCAATGGCTCGGTGGACAGACCAGGCCAGATGTATGCGCAACGACTTCTTTGACTCACCGTGGAGGCGCTGCACAGATCCAAGACCTCCACAAGCTCTACCAAGTGATGGAGCACGTGAAGGAGAGCAAAGATCAAGGCCTGATCTTCGCCGGGATCCCTCTCAACCTGGCATCGGCGATCGTGACACTCACCGACTCGAGCTGGGCCAACGCAGAGAAGCACAAGTCCCAGTACGGACTTTTGGTGACATTGTGCCCACCACAAGTGACACAGGTCACCTGCGGCGCAGTTCTCCTCGACTGGAAGAGCGGGAGATCACCCCGCGTTTGCCGCAGCACGCTCGCTGCAGAAGCGTGTGCCGCTGACGCAGGCGGCGACAGGGCCAGCTTCGTCAACTACTTTTTGACGGAGCTCCTCCATGGCATTCCGTCCTATGAGGGCCGAGCTATGCTGTCCAGCATGTTGTGCGTGGATGCCAAAAGCCTCTACGACTGCCTCATCCAGGAGAACCCCTCCGTGAGTGAGAAGCGGCTGATGGTCGAATTGAGAAGTGTACAGCAGGTCTATGAGCCTAAGAACGTGAGGTGGATTCCCACCCACTTGATGCACAGCGACGGCCTTACAAAGGTCGATGATGCATTGATGTGTGCACTGCTCCTGTGGTGCCAGTCCCCTTGGGTCCAGTTGGTGGAAACCAGCAAAGTTCCAAAGAACAAAGACCAGTGTGAAAGTGAAGCGGTATGAGCCGTTTGCTGGTTGCCACCCCGGTCCAAGATGGCCGATTGAGCCAGGTTTTCACTTTGCACTGCTGCGCCATGGCATGAAAGATCGATCTGGCAGTTTGCTGTGAAGCCGTTTTCGCTTTTCGTTTCGCAAGGTGTATTTGCAAACACCATTGCTAGACTAGGAACAAGGGCATCGCTTCTAGGAACAAGTGCTATATATATAGGGAATCACACTTTGATGGCACTCGCAAAGCGCCTTTGATATGCTATCAATTTGTGATCTCTACTAGGGAAATGCCATCAACCACTTGAGGGTAGATCCTGGATAAATAGATGGCATCCAGTAAGATTTTGGAAAAACAAGACCCCCTAGCACACTTTGATGGCATCCATGCCCAAAACATAGCATGGATATTGTGTGTGTGTTTTTATCTATTTTTTTTCAATGGGGGAGGGGGTGAAAGTCTTATGGTGCGATGCCCTTGTTACTAGTAGGGATGCCCTGCAAGGCCAACCGTCGTGCACTGAGCGTTCTTGTGATGTCAATCTTTCCAATTGAAGATAACCTTGCTACTAGAAGCGTCCTTGTTACTACTAGTAAGGCACTTGTTACTGGAAGCGATGCACTTGTTCCTAGTAGCTTCTTGTTACTGGAGAATTTACCTGCGAAGATGCTGCTTAAAAAAACCGTTTTGTCACCCTGGGAATCCAACAAAGACCATGTTGTCTTGCATTTCAATCAGCTTGGGTTTCTCAACGTGAGACCCAAATGCTTTCGGAGGTACATAAAGCACCGGGAGTCCAGAATAAGACTGTTGACCACAAAGACTGCTTCTACTAGGTTGGAGGCCATCGCTAGTAGGTAGGAGGCCATCGGTACTAAAAAGAAGAAAAAGGAAAAGGAAGAAAGATATCATATAGTTAAGTTTACCTAAAAGCGCGTTTTTTCCCCGAAGAAGCGTTGAGCCTGCCTCCATATGTAGGAACGTACTTCTATTCTTTGCCCGCTCTGCCACCCTACGACTTAATTGAGTAGGCGCCTACTTAAATAAGCAAGGGAGGAGTTTGCTCCTAGCTACTAGGACGCTAATAGTATGGACACTGGATAGCTTCCACTTCTGCAAGGAAGTCCCTTGTGTGTAGCTTCCGTGAAGAAGTGCTCTGGGAAACTTAGATGCCCCGCCTCGACAATCCATCTGAGGTCCTTGACCTCCTCTCCTCGGACGAGGCCAAGCCGGCGAAGCCTGAAAAACTCTGGTAGGTTGGAGGCCATCGCTACTAGGGTGGAGGTCTAGTAGTTGTAGTGGTAGTGCGGTTGTATTGAGTATATATCATATAGGGCGTTAAGTTTCCCTAAAAATCTAGGAACCAAATCAATAGCGTGAACTATCCTGCGTCCTAAGTAGCAGCTTACTAGTAGCTACTCTTCTACTAGCTACTTCTTCTTACCTCTTCTAGCGGCGTACCCCCCAACAAAAAACAACGACATGCAAATCATCTTTTGGCTGTTCAGGATCAGGACTTGACACAGCCGGGAAACCTAGAAGGCCCCACCGCTTGGTTGGAAGAGTTGAATACTGAAGGCTGTGCGGTCTTCTTCTGGTGCATTTAAGGTTAGACTTTTCTTTCTTTCTTGCTTAATTTCTTTCTTGTTTGTTCAATTGAAAGGCAAGCAGGAGTTGTACTGTCTACTGGAACCTTGTGTTGCCTGGGTTGGACTAGAATTTGGATGGCATTAGAGGCCCGAGCGATACTACTGAGGGACTTGTATGCGAGGGTAAGCCTTTCGACCTGGCTGCCTAGTTGCGTATCAGTTGGACTGGTTCCGCCAAAGTTCTCGGGCGTTTGCTTGGCAGGCTGAGTTTTCGTTGGAATAGCTGTGTTAGGTTGTACTCACCACAGACCCTTCAACCGATGCTCATGGCCAGTGAACTGAGGCTGTAAAGCAACGCCCCAAAGTGGTGCGACATCTTGCGACCAAAAAGGCACTTGTTCCTAGTAGCTTCTTGTTACTACTAGTAACAAGTGCCTCGCTAGTAGTAACAGCAAGAACGACGGTCTTGGACTCAATCAGCAAGAACGCTACTAGGAGCAAGGACGCTACTAGGGGCTCCTGGCCATACTACTAGGAACAAGAAGCTACTAGGGGCTCCTTGCATCGCTACTAGTAACAAGAACGCTACTAGTAACTTTCAAGAGCGGTCTTGGACTTTGCTATTTCACCCCACAGGACCTTCAGGACCTTTGGATGGAGGCCATCGTCACTAGGAACAAGAATCTACTAGGTGGAGGCCATCGCTACCAGCTATCAGGTTGGAGGCCATCGCTACTAGGAGCAAGAAGCTACTAGGTGGACTACAAAGCTTCACCACACTTTGCCACTATATTCAAGAATTGCTTTCCTTCTACGGGGATGCCATCGACCGGCTTTGCCGTTTAGTTGAGCTTCGAAGTATGGGCTGGCATGTTCCAGGCTGACTGGGTGTATCACGGGAAGCCTTTAAACTTGTTCCAGACGCATCCTGACTTCAGCATCTTTTGCTCCTTAAGCATGTATGGAGAAGATCTGAGGTTCTCTCACCTCACCTCACCATTTTCCAACCTTTGTAGGTTTGCCGACAAAACCGACAAGCAGCTAGGAGCAAGGACGCTACTAGTAGCTCCTGCTAGGAACAAGACGATGCTACTAGGAACAAAGGGCATCGCTACTAGGAGCAAATCGGACGGTGTGCGCTGCTTGGGCCGATCGGTTGGTCCTTCGACGTCATGGCCTTGGCACCCCCATGGAAAAAGCCCAGGAGCGGCGAAGAAAAGGCAAAGGCGCAAAGGACACAGAACCTTTGTTACTAGTAGCTTGTAGCTACTAGTAGTAATGCCCATGTTACTAGTAGCAAAGAAAAGAAACAGAACACATTCGCAAAGCTTTCCTTTTGAACCGATAAACCTAGTAAAGGACTGCGTTTTTGCAAACACTTCTCTTCTGTTTGTTCGCTGTTGAGTCCATTCGCCTTAGGCAAAAGAGTGTTTGAACAAATACGTAAGCAGACCGCTACTAGGGTGGAGGCCAGAGCAAAGGGCATCGCTAGTAGGTTGGAGGCCAACTGCTTCTGCCCTAGAACCGTCGAGCAGCATATGTGCTTTGCAGGAGCGCAGGGCCCGTCGTCTGGTGGATGCGCAATGACCTGCGCCTGCAGGAGCTGATAAGCCTTACCCACAAAACGGTCAGACTGATCCAAGACTTGCTTTTTGGTGTGTTTCTGCAATGTTAATGCGACCATGTCACGTGCACTCTAAGGGCGGTTCAAGTGGTGAGCAAGAATGGATGAGCTGAACTGAAGAGACTAGCATCATGTCGACACTACTTAGGACTGGAAGCAGCCTCTTACTGAAAGGAATCAGCGCAGTAGTCGTGCTGTTCCAGATTGAATTCAGCCCACAAGAATAGCTCTCAAACTACATCAGCGCCAGCTGGCAAGCCTGTTCCACCTCTACCGTTCAATTACAAGTCTAAAGGTCTAAGGAACACAAAAGCAAACAGAACACAGGAATTAAGACAAGAAACAAATGCGAAGCACGATATGTATATATATATATATACAGACAAATATACAATATATCAAGCATTTTTAGCCAACATTCTGTTAGAATGCTTTTGGTTTGCCTGATTGTGCTATCAGTTCGAAGGACAATCCAGTGGCCCGAACTGCTGTGGCTGAAGCGCTCACGGACCAACGGCCGCTGCTGCCGGTCTTTATTTTCGACCCCCGGTTTTTGGATCGTTGCTTGGAGAAACATGATCGAAGATTAGGGAATTGTAGACTGTAAATGTATGAAGAGAAGAGAGGTACATACTAGGTGGGAGGCCTTCGCTATTAGGTTGGAGGTGCTCATTGGGTGTTTTTGCGAGGGCAAGATACAGATGCGGTGGAACATGGTGGAACCTTGACGCGGAATGTCATGAAGTGATAATCAGTCTCCTTCCTGAGAGTTTGTGACAATATCGAACAAAAGCAGCTCAATTGAACGTGTTTTCAAACGCTCTCCTTGTAGGGAGCTTGCTTTGCAGTCAAAGCCTTTTGAGTTCATAGCGGCCTCCAACCTAGCGTGCAGACCGTCGTAAGGGGCGGGACGGTTTTGGTCCGCGCTCCGCGTTGTCGAACAGAGTGAAGGCCAGCTCCACGGTCCGCCTCTTTATCTGACTTTCCTTGCTGAAGTCACTATGAATCCAAGCACTGCAACATTTTTTATCCACATCTACTGCCTAATCGCAAGAAAGGTTGGAGGCCATCGCTAGTAAGTTGGATTAATCTATCCTTTGGTCCAAAAAGGCTCAACATCCAAGACCAACAGGTTCTTTCTACGGCCGCGTGACCGATCCCAACTTTGAGAAGTCCATCAAGACGCGGAAACCAGTGCCCTGGCCTAGGGAGCTACCATGCGAGGATACCCTTGAGCTGCACAGCTTTTGTTTAAGATCTACATCAAGTGGAAGGAGGAAGTCTCTGGTTGTTGAATCTGATGGGTGACGGGTTAGCTGCCACGGAATGAAGCCGAAGCAAGATGTAGCAGACAAAAGAGTTTGTTTTTTGTTGAACAAATCCAAAAAGCTCCGGCTCTCTGTCGAAGAAACCCAAGACCTACTGTAGGTCTGGAACCTCGCTCGCCTGAGCTCTTGGATGTGTTTGTTCCTTCCTCGTGCTTCAGGTGGACTTCTCTGGACGGAAGACTTGTGCTTTGCGCGCGCGCTTCTGGTTGCGCTGCGTGACGCGGATGAAGCAAAGCATCGCCTCAAAGGGTGGAGCCATGCTGGCGCCTCGGATAACTTATCAGGTTCATGTGGAGATATGTGCTTAATACATGTTGCGAGGATTGCATGATTAATGTCTTACTTTGTTTTGCAAGTCTTAGGGATTCACGTGATCTTTCTTGTGTCCGTAGCCCTTGTAGTTAACTCCAAGTCGCAGCAGAAGTAGCCAATGCTTGTGTGCTTCGGGATTTTCTGGAGCACGGAAGTGTGGTTCTTTGTGGGCTAGCGATGGCCTCCAACCTACTAGCGATGGTCTCCACTCCATAGCGATGGCCTCCACCTTAATAGCGAGGGCCTCCTCATTCAACCAGGTTGCAGATGTCATCAGTACTGATCACCAATGAGAACTTTCTTGATGTCCTGTCTAGGGCCAACAGTGATTGACACTGGCCTTCGTCCTTTACTCCGAAGTTTTTGGTTTGACAATAGACCTTTCTAGTAAGGCACTTGTTTCTAGTAGCTTCTTGTTACTACTAGTAAGGCACCTGTTACTACTAGCGAGGCACCTGTTACTACTCAAGACCTTGTTTATATATGCAAATGAAAGCCATTACAGTACTAATCAAGAGATCGGATGGGAGGAAACACTGGGAGTGTGCAATACACCTGCATCTCAACAAGGCCTGGCCATGAATGCAATCTAGAATAGACTCTGCCTTGGAATGCTTAGCAAGAATTCAGAGTATGGAAAGGATGCCTTACTAGTGCCTTACTAGTAGTAACAAGAAGCTATTAGAAACAAGTGCATCGCTACTAGTAACAAGTGCCTTACTGGTAGTAACAAGAAGCTATTAAATCTATTTTAAATCTAATTCTAATAGCTTCTTTGTTACTACTAGTAAGGCACCTGTTACTACTAGCGTGGCACCTGTTACTAGTAGCAACAGTGCTGTCAGGTATGTCACGGGAAGCCGGAAGAGGTCTTGGCCAAGCTGCCTGGGGGCTCCCTCGTCGTGTGTCAAAGCGTGCCTTGGCTTCGGCCGTGCGAAAAAGAAGCGGCAAACACTTACCTTGCGAAATCACACACTTTCTGAGTTGCTTACCGGCTTTCGCAGTTCCGGAGACAATGCCCCCAAAGTGCTGTTGAACGTTTTCATCTTGACGGGCCTCTGAAAATCAAGCCCTCGACGAAACCAGCAAAAACAACCAGATAAAATGCGACCAGATAAAACAACCAGAGGATGTTTCTAGTAATAACAAGTGCCACGCTAGTAGTAACAGGTGCCTTACTAGTAGTAACAAGAAGCTAGTAGGAACACATTAGAATTAATTTAGAATTTAATTAACATTGCAATGACCGGCGTCGCTCCAAGGAGCCAGTGTCTCCAGAGCAGACCGATGTTGAGGATCAAGTGGCCAAAGCCTTGTCGAGCCATTGCGAGCTTTGGAGGAAATGGGGCGCCATGAGCCTTTACCACCGCAAGGAGAGGCCATCGCTAGTAGGTTCCTTTTTGAAAGGAGCGGTTAGGAAAACAAACAGCCTCAGGTCCTCAACTTGCTCCGATTTTGTCGACGAGTGGGGAAAGGGCCAAGTAGAGAGAGGGCTAGTCACTTAAGCTAGATGTTTTGGGGAAACTTAACTTGTAGACCTTTCGCTTTTTCTTGCAAGGCTGTGAACGCTGAGCCTGTGAGAGGACTTACCCTTCCCGTTGACAGATGGACCGGGGAGCTACACCGAGCTCGCGCTCACGCTGGGCTGGGAGGAGCCAAAGGGGGCGGATGGGCCGGTTCCAAGTTTTGACGGTCGGTATCGAAAAAAGCTACTGGTAACAAGGGCATCGCTATTAGGAGCAAGAAGCAAGCAAGAAGCTACTAGTAGCTCCTGGCCTTACTACTAGGAACAAGAA